TGGAAGAAAACTTAATTAGTATGATTTTGAACAAATATTCAAATATGATTAACATTCATTTCAGTCTCTCTATATTTCGTAATATGCTGTATTTTGAATTTCGTAAACATTTTTAATTTGGTTTTTATGAGCTTTTTTCCGAACCTTAGCAAATTCGTCACATTTGCTCGGTATTCTTCGCATAAGTATGATTTTTTGCTCGGCACTAAAAGGGTTAAACTGGAGTGGTAGATTTTAGAATTTGATTCTCATAGATCCTCCCTCGAGATAATTTGATTCACTTCTTGGGTGAGAATTGAAAGCGTGAACGTGGTTGGATGCGCGTGCGCAAATATATTTGTAAGCAAACACACTGTCGAGAGATACTGAAAGAGAGTGAAGTAGAGATATAGATAGAGAAAAAGAGAGAGAGAGAGAGAGAGAGAGAGAGAGAGAGATAACACATTCACGTCGATATTAACGGACAAAACTTTTTCAAACATAGAACGTTTCGTCGTCGTCGTTGTCGCATTAACCCGTAATTAAATTCAACGATTATAACGCCATGCCGGTACCGATAACCATTGCCAACATCGTTTAGTTAGAATAACTTTCACTAAAAAGAACGATCACAAAAAAAAATTCTCTCTCTTAACGGTCTCCTGTCTCCCGCGTTTTTTTTTTCCTATTGTTTTTTGCCACTTCTTTCATCGACTTTAAACGTACTCTCTCATTTTTATCTATTTTTTTTCTTCCTTGCCTCTATCTTAAAAAAACTTCTTTTTATTTCCTCGGATATTAACGAATTTTTCCATCTCTAGAAGTAATTTTAGAATAATATTTTTAAAGTTTTTCTAATGCTAAGATTATTAGTAAAAATTAGTATAGGTATAATATTTTATGAAATTTAAATTTAGTTGGAATTAATAATGTGGGAATTTTTAATAGTTTATAGTTAAACATAATATTGGTAGTTTTTTATTTATGAATATTTTTAGTTTTATATATATATAAATTAATATTTTATTCGGTTGCATTTTTTACATTGAGAATGTTTGATATTTTTTATTTAAGTATCTAGGATCATAGTTTCTTTTTAATTAACTATTTTTAATAGTCTATGTTTGAATACCTATATAGCAATAGTATTTTTAATATTAACAATTTCTACTCTACCTATTAACCAATCGATTAAATTATTAGCATAGATCATAGATCATAGTAATAATTATTCAAAAATATATAACATTTATTGAGATCATTTTACAATTCAAAAACATTTAAATGATAATTTTTTTTTTTAAATATATGAACTATAAACTCTTAAATAAAAAATTCGAAAATAATCAAATTCGAAATACGAGCGTAACTTGTTAATATCAAGGATTAATGCTTATTCGCATGTTTTACAATATCTTCAATCATTGCGAAAGTTTTCATTCAAGAAAAAGAAAGAAAGAAATATTTTTAAAAAATACACGATAACGAGAAAGATCACTTTCGAATGGTTACGTGAAAAATAATAAAGATAAAATGAAAATAAATATTCATTTATCAGAATCATATACGATAGTCGTCCGCTACAAAGATAACTAATAACCGCACGAGTTATCCTATCGGTTATTTTCAATTAATAATTAATAAAGTTAATCTTTGTAAATAAGATAAATGTATGTTGATTTTCGCCATTAAATTCACCGCAGTTGTGAAACGTTATTCGCTCGTTAAGATAGTAAAAGAGTATAAATACATACTCATATACGAAAGTACCTAAATACACGTACGAAGTACGAAAAGTATACGTAAGTAAATAAGTATCTAAGAGAAAAGGTATTTCTCACGAATGTTAACTGTTCATTTGTTAAAGGGAAAATTATTTAGCCGAATTTTTCGTTAAATGTTTTCTCTCACGAGTGGGAAAAACAAATCGTTCCGTCGACGTATTATTAATAGCCTTGCTAGAATGAATAATTGAATATACTCGTGGAAAGCTTAGAAATAGAAAAAGATTAATGAAAGAATAAGAAATAATTACAAATAAAAATTAATATATGTTTATATAATTTTATTTTAAATATGTGGAAAACTAAGAATTGAAAAAATGCATATAAACATACTTCCTATTTGTTCCAAAACTATAAATACTTTTGTGTTCCAATAATTCACGATAGTTTACGTTCATAAAAAATGTACATCAAAATCCTTATCTTCGGCTTGAATTTCTAAACATTGCTCCACGTCTTGCAGATAGATACAATTTTAATACAATATGAATTTTTTTCATTGGTTTTATGTCTCCATTCCTAAATTCCTAAATATTACGAAACAGTCTGCGCATGTAAAAACATAATTTATATCTAAATAAAGTATACAAATTACAAATATAATATAAAAGAAACAGAATATATCTGTCAAAATAAATTCGATTAGAAAATGTGACAAAATTTGTGGAAACATCGACAAATAAAATAATCCAAAAAAATGACAAGTAAGTTAATATACTAAGTAAGTGTATCCAAGTTTTCAAATATGCGATCCGCGGCTGGCTATTTAACACGCCGCCCCTAAAATAATCCGCAATCTGTAACCTCGCGTGTTTTCTGCCACGCGGTTTATCGCGATCATTAATACGTTCCCCCACCTCTTAAATTTTATTCCTACCCCGTAACCCCCCTACGATCAACTTCACCATTACTAATACCAGTATTAACAGCAGCATCGTCATCGGTACCAACACACAAATACGATCCTCGAACGAAGAACAATTTCTTTTCACCGAACTCTTTTCCTCCACCTCTTTATTCTTCAATCTGAAAGAAGAAAAAGAACTTTATCGGCAGATAATTAATTTCAGTTGCATAAGCCTGGGCGTTAATCGTTCATTAAGTGGCCTCCACTCTGGAAACGCTTCGGAACGCTTTAATTCACGGTTAACGATAATTTTTATTGCATCGACGATTTCCGATAATTATTTAGTTCACGAGAGAGAGAGAGAGAGTTGAAAAGAAACTGAGATAAATATTTTTCTTTCTCTCTCTTTCGAACGATCGATCGAAAGGCAGGCTAATTAAATCATTTAACTTAACCGAGTTATCGAGCATCGTAAGTACTTAAACTCGATTCTTAAATCCCCCTCCCCCGTTCTTTAACTTTCATCATGTCATATCATTTTACTTTTTTTCTATTATCTTTATTTTTCTCATCAATAATTAAAACGAGCTTGAACGAGCATTACAGAGTGATGAAATTACAAAAGATATACTAACTGAGTTGTCTACATTACTATAGATAGATCGATAGGATTGCTATAGAAAAATATGATTTGAAAAATTCTAACGACCTATGAAATGATGGTAGATTGTTATCGGTGATCCATCCTTTATCGTCGTTTAACGATCTCCGAACATGGTAACGGTTTCTCTTAGACGAGTCAACTTCAAGGAAGGGTTGTTAAGAGATAAGGACACTCGGTCTTACGTCGTCGTTAGGACTAACAAGCCTGTTCGATACGTGTGCCCTGCCATGATCGAGTCCGACGTTCATAGCAAATGAGTGAAAATAAAGGTAAAGTAAACTGTTGAGAAGTCGGGTAAGGTAAATCGATGATAAAGTCATCATCTTGCTATTCAAATTCATGAATACATTTAAAACTGGGTTTCCTCTTTTTTTCCTTCTTCTTTTTTGCTTTCTTATCTTTTTTTTTCTTTTTTTCTTAATCGCAATTCGATTAAATACAATTTCATTCCTGTTACAAGAAAAGACATCGATCGAATCGGTTGATCTTTTCTCCCTTGAAGGACAACAAGCATGTTAAAAATCCTCGGTAGCAAGGATTCCGCATACTGAAACATACATCGTAACCTTTCCGGTATTCTCTTTTATACTGTAAGTGTGTGTAGTCGTACGGTAGTCTCTCGGACGATTCTAACAAGCCCGGTAGTTGACTTTGGTATCGTTCCAAGATATCATCTACCTGCATTTCTCTCTTTCTTTTCGTTTAAAAAGGAAACTAAACGAAATAAGAAACAAAGAGAAAAAAAGTATAGAAGCCGTGGTAATAGCGAGCATGGACTAATTACACGATTAAATTCAGACACGTATATGGGGGGTGGTAAACCGAGATGGAGAAAATAAGAGAATACAAAAGAAGAGAAAAGAAAAATTAAATTAAATAAATACGCGATCACCGCGGGGGAAAAAATCGGGATGAACAGAGATGGCGAATCGTGAAAGAGAATAAAGAAATATAAAAAAATAAAAAGAGAGAGATAACGTGGTAGTAAGAAAAAAAAAAGAATTGATAATATTCATGGTAAATCAAGGATGACGAATAATAAGAAAATAGATATTAAATAAACAAACACGCATATATACGTGGGCAAAAGAAATAAAATGGGGGTAGGTAATAGGGGGATGAAGAAAGATGGTAAAGAAAGAAAAATAAAGAGAGAGAGAAAAGAAATAAAGCAAATAAAGAGATGGAGAAGAGAACGTGGCAGACGAAAAAAATTGGGAATATTTATGCCCGGTATTATTAGCGTACGTCGACGATATCTCGGTGGGCATCGCTAATTAGCCCGCGCGCGGACCGACTCGCTTGCCTTTCGGCAAACAGTGCTTGCTACTGTCTTTAAGTCCTATCTCCTTTTCTCTTTCTCTTTCTCTCTTTCTCTCTCTTCCTCTCCTTCTTTCTCTCTTACTCTCTTTTTCTCTTTCTCTTTTACCTCTTTTCTTCCTTCCTCCACTTCTGTACTTACTCTTACCCTGCAATCAAGATGGTGGCGCCAACCGCCCGGGGCGGTCGATTCCGAAACTAATTGCCACGGCTAATTTATCCCCGCGACATATACGCACAGAGACGCCATTATCCGATACCAAGTAATCGGCAAGGTCTAATCGCTTTTTCAAAGGATACTCCAAAGTAAGTAAGTAAGTAAGTAAGGAACGAACGAAGAAAATCCGTTTATCTTTTGACCGAGTATATAAACCTAATCATCAAAGTCATTTCAAAACTTTCTACAAAGTTTGTATTCAACCCAATAGTCCTGGTCCTTTTACTGATCTCTTATCTGCCATGAGCTTTTTAAGATGGGTTTATCATTTTTCTTTTTTTTTTTCTTTTTTTGGGGAAATTTTTAGAGACTCGTCAGATCGGTAAGTTAATTGAGGAACACCTGGTTATTTAAAGTATCTTATCTGTGCAATGAATTTTGTTTAGATGGGTCTATCATTTTTTTCTGGTTTTTTTTTGTTTTTTTTTTAAATTTTTAGAAACTCGTCAAGATGATCGGTTAACCGAGGAACACCTAAGATGGGACACATTTTTGGGATTCTTATGCTTGTGTTGAGTTCTTTTTCTTTTTTTTTGTTTTGTTTTATGATACTGTTGAGAATTGGAATTTGTTGGTGTTCTTTATGGTGTTTGAATATTTGGGAGTTTGTTTTAATGATTTTTGTCTTTTATTTTTGATTGGATATACGAATATCATATGGAATACGTTTGAGTGTGTTTTATTAAAAAACAATTAGGTTTTTTCTTGTTTTTTTTTTAGATATTAGGATTTATTAAATAACTCTTCTCTACTCTTTTCCCCGCGTCACTTATATCTACATTTGTACAAAATTGGAAAACAAGAAACACAAAAATCGCGTTGAGTTGGGATCAGTCGCGAAATCGCGATTGTTCATTTTCAATTCTCCGACAACTCGAATCGATTCGCATTGATTGTTTTTTTCTCACTCACATTACTCGTATCTTTTATTTACAAATTCTTGTCACATTCCTTTTGTCAAATTATTTACAATTTATTTACAGTATTTATTATTAATCATTATAGTCATTCCTTGTTATTTTAAAAAAGGAACAATTGGCACAACTGCGAATCGTCGATATTCCAATTAATTTCACTTTGTCATTTTTAACGCAACAAAAAAGAAAATAATTCACTCATCTTCGATAGATATATTTTTTTTTTGTATCGTTAGAAATTAAAATCTTCTCTTCGAGTTTTTTTTTCCTTATAGGAAAAATAATCGAAAACGATCCCAATGGCTGTTTATTTTGTTTTCTCTCGAAGGAAAATCCAAAGGGTGCAGAATACCCGTTTAATGTCATTCCTCTTGTTAGATAAGAAGGACAAGTTTGGAATCGTAGATTCTAGGACGTTAGTTTCATTCTCTCGAAGGATGTTGAGATATCGGATGATGAGGCGTCAACCCAGGATGAGATAGCATTCCCATGGGATAGAGTCCGGCCGGTGTGAGAAGTCCCGGATGCGAACCATAAAGAGCCGAGTGATGCTGTCTCACAGCAGACATTCGCAACTTCTCGATTTCCGCTTCTTGCAAACGTTTCGCTTTTGCTCGTCTATTTTGAAACCAGATTTTCACCTAAAATCATATAAAACAAAACAAAATAGAAAAAAAACTTCATTTCAAATAAGAACAAGAAAAAAATAAAACAAATTTCAATTTCAAAATTTGTTTCAACATTTTTTGAAATTCATCTTATTCATTTCGTTTGAACAATTTATTTACAATATTAGATTTATCCGATAACATTTATTTATTAAATGTATTTAAATAAATGTTAAAATAGATTACGATCGAGGTTGAAGAAAGATGAAATGAAATTTATTCTTCGAATTAGGCAGCACATAAAACCGATCAAATCACCCATCTCAATCGTTAAATTCCCGAAAAGGGAGTAGTTAAAGAGAAAGAGAGAAATAGAGAGAAAGATAGGTAGAAATCTTCTCGCATGAAGATCGAGCATGAACTCTTCACAACCGATCTAATTATCTCGGTAGATAATCTTTCGAGATAATTATCACGTCGGATCATTAAGTACGAAAACATCGTAGCCGTTCTATTAAATTCAAGTTACCAGAAGAGGATTTTACGAGCAGACATTTAAAAATATCTACACGTATTATGTTCACGTATGTGCATGAATATGTGTGTGTGTGTGTGTGTGTTGACGGATAGGTTGCAGTAATCGTTAATTATCGTATCTAAAATTCTGCATTTAACGATGAAAACGTTGCGATTAAATATGACGAACTTCCATTGATGGGAAATGGATTTATATATTATCTGAAAATGGCCGGGAACGAAGGAAAAGGAGGTTAAGAGAGATGGAAAGGGGGAAGGGAGGAAAATGAGAGTTCTTAAACTTCGGCCAAGGCATAATTGCTCTACGGTCATCGCGTGGTATCGCGAAACGTGCTTCAGCCAATTTGTAGTGTATTAATAAAATTCCCGTTTACCGTTCCTCGACCACCACCCTCACCCTTACCTCCCCAGTCCTCCTCTCAACTCACTACTTTCTCTATATACTCCCTTTCATTCTTTCATCATGTCGTTACATTACCGTCATGCAACATTTATGCATTGTACGTACGCTAATTACCGCACGTATACTAAGAATGCGTATATTTAACGACTCATGTTTGCAAAAAAATAATGGGAATAAAAAATGTCTTATTTGTAAATCATGTAAAAGAGGGAATTAAAAATGGTTGAATTTAATAAATCGGACTATAATTTTTGTTCTATTTTTATTTCTGACTATGTGCTGTATTTTGTAACAGAAACATCATTTTATTTTTTTTTTTATCAGTTCAACGTTTTCTAAATTAGCCTAAACATTGTTTATTTATTTGCCGTGTCTAATAGCAGCTGTCAAACATTTAAATTGTCGTACAAATGTAACAGAAAATGATACAAAACTATTCTCTCACGAATAAGAAGAAAAATAAGAAGAAGACGAAGTAAAAGATGAGAGGAAGATATTAATAGCAAGAGAGAAACGTGTCTCGCTTGACGAAATGCCAAGATAATTACTTCGTGACTAGTACCATTAGAAGTTCTGCGAAAAGGGACTTTACTTATGTAGTACCAACCTGAGTTTCTGTTAGATGCAACGAAGACGAGAACTCGGCTCGTTCGGCAACACTGAGATACTGCCTCTCACGAAACTTCTTCTCCAGGGCTAGCAACTGTTGCGTCGTGAACGGTGTCCTCGGTTTCCGGTTGGGCTTGTGTTTCCTGAGGTTGCATTTGATCTTTGCGGGTTCTCCATTTTCTACCAAAAAAAAAAAAAGAAAAAATAAATTATATCCCGGTGAAAAATCATAAAGTTAATTAAAAAAAAACACACAGACACACACGCGCGCAAATTAAAAATATTCGTTGAATTATATTAAAAATTACAATTCGATATTATAAATCAGTTTGATAGCTTAAATTTGGATGTTTGTTGTGAAACTTTGAATAAGTTAAATTTAGATAGCGCATGACTCAATTTATTTTCTAATCTACGAAGATAGAAGTAACCACTAAAATAATCATCATTATTATTTAGTTTGAATCTATCTTTCAATTAAATATATATATAAAAGAAAAAAAATAAATTACTCTAACCTAAAGAACTCCCAATTACCAGAATTTAGCAAATACGAAATAAAAAAGTGTTAGATAGGAATGAATAGATATCAACACATGTAGTTACAACGTAAATGATTAGGAAGCAAGAAGGAACAGTTAGGTGGATATAAGGTAACATAAGAAAGAGAAAATAACATTAGGATAAAATAGGATAGGACAACAACAGGTTGTTCGTTTTTGAGTGTTGGAAGGAGTCCGGAGGTGCGTTCCGGGCACGCCTAAGGTGAGAGACCAGGTGGAAAGAGAGTCGACCGCAATGTCCTGTTTTTGCTTTGGGAAGGGGTTAAAGAAAGGGAAACGTGCCCGTTGACTCTTCTTATTTTTATAGAATACAAGAACAGCATGAGAGATAGAGAGAGAGAGAGAGAGAGTGTGTGTTTCTTCCTCTACAGTTCTTTGGATAGTCGATTCATAATTTTTCCGTCGGAACGGCGCCGCAAACTGGCCTCATTACGTTTTTGTCGGTCGACCGCAAAATTCCGGCCCATGGAGGAGGCCCACCGCTTGTTGTATTGTTTCTGTCTATAAGACCTAGATTTTTTTCTTCTTTTTATTCCTCGTACTTTTTATTCTTTGAAACACCCTTCTCGGTTACCTAGTACTTAACGCGTGTACTTGTTGTCCTTCTTTATTTCTTTAACCGGATGAACGAGAAAAACTAAAGCCGCCGTTTTTCCAATTTACTCGAAATTATTAGTTTGAGCAATAACTACCCTGGCAGCCGATCTTTCCTTGCTTCAGAATATTTTTTTCCTTTTCTTTCTTTCTTTGTCGATCTTCATAAAAACGATCAACCATAATATATTACAATCGAATCGTGAGAAAGGACGAACGCGTTCCGATGTACATTATATTTTCAAATCGATGAATGCAAACAAAAGAATAATACTTTTTCCTCTAATTAAGAAAACGCTACGATCTATATATATATAAAAAAAAAAAAAAAGAAACATCGGGAATAATTTTATTTGCATATTGACCAACGAATTAACTTACATACATAAATATACATTTTGTTATCAATGGCATGTGGAATTAATTAATGAACAAAATTATTTATTTATATTTATTTTAATGTGTGCACATTTGCGATATAGTTTTTTTGTTTTGCGTTACGTTTTGCAAACGTCAACGATATAAAAACGGGATAAATTATTAAAGAATAGGAAAGAAAATCACTTTACTTCCATGGATTCTCGATCAATGGCGATGGTTCGTTCGTTCGTTCATTCGTTCGTTCCTTCGTTCGATCAGGGCAGTAAACAGTTTGCACACCGGCGTGCCATGATTCGCGATAAATTACTCGGCAAAAGGACGTTGCAAAATCGGCAAGACAAACGCCTTGCTGTCCGCGCGTACGAGCACGCTACTTAATCGTTCCGTCAGCGTGCTATTTAGTAACGCATAAATATGTATACCCGTCGTCACTGATGTGGAGTCTCATCTTGAACGAAATTTATAACCGTGTATAATAACAACAATTGAAATAAAACACATATACATATTATAGATTTACATATTATATATATACATTACATATATTACATATTATATATACATTATAGTGCCCTGTGAGAACCAATATTTATTCCGACAGATTCTATTTCCCTTTTAAATCTCCAACAAAGTATGATTTTTTTATATCGTATTCTTCGAATCTAGAATTAAAATACGTTCGTTATAAGTTGTAGAGATTAACTGGTCTTGTAATAAAAAGAAATTAAGTTTTAATAACAAAATTATATATAGTTGTTTTTTTTTTAGTTAAAAGAAAATGAATAATTCAGCATTCTCTTATTTATTCTATACATCAATTTAATATTCTATAATTTACATATTGGCAGAGCAATATATTGAAAATAAAATTCTATAGAAAATTGTAATTAAATATTATTGACTCGTAATAATATTTAACAAACTAATTACACATTCTTATCGATACTATAAATAAAATATCAATACATAAAACTACACACACATGTATATACATTTCTACTTTTATTTTTTATTCTGGAAGAACAATTTTCTACGACACACGTATTGAAGAATCGACACAACAAAAGGAAGATAAAGAAAAAGGTTGTGTGTAATATACGATTCGTCGAAGAAGATGGGCTTGTTGTTCGAATCGTATGACACGAGATCGTACGGTGGACGAAGAAGGAGAAAAGGAGAAAAGGGGGAAGGAAAAGAGTAAATAGATGGAGGAGGATTCGAAACAGCGAGGACAGACACGCCGAGGCAGGAATGTAGAACTACTACAACTACTGGGATCTACTTCTATCTCTCTCTCTCTCTCTCTCTCTCTTTCTCTCATTCTCTTCTTCCTTTTCTCATTCTCATTCTCCTTCTTCAAGGATATATCGGTTATATTCCACGAGATTTGTCTCCAGACAATTGACAGATTTGTAGAGCCGAGGTGAACGGCTCTCTCGTTGAGTCCATGTTGCGGCAAACTGAACGAGAAAGACAGAAGGAGAAAGAAAGAGAGAGAGAGAGAGAGAGAGAGAGAGAGAGAGAGAGAGAGAGACCTATACGAAACAAAAGAGGCAGCAGGATCGTCGTCGTTTCTGAATTTCAAATTCGACAGGCACCGTCGTCAGCACCATATCACCCAACCCTTACTCCTCTTCTCTACTGAGATGGTCCTTTTGGTTGGTTTACAAAAGGAACATCTTTTACTCGATCCTCTTTCTCATCCTTCTTACTACGAGAGAGAGAGAGAGAGAAAGAAAATCAAGGATTCCATGGTACGGTAGGAGGACTTACGATCAGTCCTCGTAGTCCTTGTTGTGTTGTATTCTCCTCCTACTACTCTAAACGCGTTTGTATACTTGAGCTTCCTCTTCTTCTTCTGGGAGACCTAAGGGTCCCAATTAGTCTCTCCGAATTCGTGGATCTTTTTTCCTTCTCTTTTTTTATTTATTTTTCTTTACCTCCTTTAATTTTTCTTCTTTTGTTTTTTGGTGGCTTCTTCATCCGTGTTTTTTTTTTCTATCCATTCGTTCGTTGGTTCGTTGCATACAATCAATGAGGAGGTTAATAAAAGTGCAACAAAATAAAAGTAAATTGAATTTTTGTAAATTTAGAGAAAAGGATCCCCCGAGTATACACATTCGAAATAATTAAATTGATGCCGTTGATATAACCAATGACGAGAAAGCTAAGATTATCCGATGCTGTATATACCATCGATTGTAAAGAGATGCGAGATTTCTCTGCTTTTCACATCCTTTGTTCGAATTGCATAACTATCTACTATAACACGAACGACGCCGATCTTCTACGGTGATTATTTTTCGATCGATTCGATCCGAGAAAAGATTTCATGATGGATCTCGTTCTATTGGATTTAATCAATACGTCACGAATACCTCTCCTTTTATTGTCCGTTTTAAAAATCATTAAATTAATGCAATGTTTCTTATTCATTTGTGTGATTCATTATTTTCAAAAAATGACCGATCAAGGTATTATTTTTCTTTCTTTCTTTTTTTTTTTTCTTTTTTTCTCTTTTATAGACAGTTATTAATCACTTCTTTCTTCTCGACTTTGAGAATTTATCATCTTCAAAATTACGGACGAATTCACGTTTATTTTTCTTCTTTTTTTTCTTTTTTTTTTTCTCTCTCATAGACAGGTATGAATTTTTTTTAAAGTATCATCTCGTAATTTTACTCGAGTGTTGCTACTTCTCTACAAAATTTAAGAAATAAAGTATGGCACGAAGTTGAAGACGAGAGGGTGTGAAAAGTTATAATGTATGGTTCATATTTTAAAATTATGATTTACGTCCTATTCCTTCGTTTCTCGCATGAACAAATTTATAACGATTACCCTAACACACGATTATACTGTATTCTCGAATGAATTAAAAAAACAAAAAGAGAAAGCGAGAGAAAAAAAACATCGCTAATTATTACAAATTATTATGATTTATCGTTAAATCAATTATCTTGATAAAAAAGAAAAAAGAAATATTAATGTATTTGATAATTTATTAAGATACTTTATGTTTTCAAGAATTCATTTTAACGGAAGAGACATTATATTATATGTAATATATCTTATGTAATTTTATCGTACGATTTATATAACTAGTACTGTTCTAATTAATTCGTAAAAGTTTCTTATCATTCTTAATTAAATTTTTCATAGCAAGCAAAAGTCATCTTTCTCTCTTTCTCTCTCTCTCTCTCTCTTTCTACAAAAAAAATATATATATAAAAATTCTAAAAATCCAGTTTGGTTTGTTACGTTGAAACGTGTTAAACGCGATGCGACGGTAGGCTATCGCAAGGTAGAAGCGTGAACAGCATTTTTAGTTGAACCAACCAATCGATTTTCTTCCAACGATGACCTTTCGATTATTACCGGAAGTACCTTCTTCCTCATAATCGTTCACATTGTCTCGATTCCGAAATTCGAAACTCCAAGAGCCATGCACGATCATTGTACACTTGACCTCGCCCTCTTGCCCCTTCCATTTGATCACAGAGAAGTATTTTACTCGATCAATAAACCCTGACCTCAATAATTAATATTATAACGATGATACTTTTCTTTTTTAAATAAATTCTCAGGTTTCTCTTATTTACGGTATAACAATGAGTACTTACAAATTTTATTTTACATATGCCCAATTTCATTCGTTTCTTGTAAAATATAATTTTACTATTGTTATTTTTATCGTTTCTAGCAATTTGATTTTCCGAATTGAATTTTAAAGACGATTCGAACGAATTTATTCACCTAAAAAATGTATTATAACAAGCCCAGAATAACTATGCCATTGTGTAATTCTGAAAACTTATAATTACAATAGTAAAAAAGAAAAAAACATTGTAAGTTCTATAATCGTAAAATAAGTTTACAAGATAGTTAAATAATAATGTTGAACCGATTTAAGACCATTGAAATTTATGCACTTAGTTTCGAACATGTAAAATAATCCGAAGAAAAAGAGTGCAATTGGATTCGAGCCAAAGTTCAAAGAATATTTGGAAATGGTGTGTTTCAACGCGTTCAGTGATTCTCCACGACTAATTGCAAACGATTCAAATCGAATTTAGAACAAAAAAAAAAAAGAAAGGAAAGGAAAGGAAATAAAAAAGATAAAATGAACTTACCGTTGAGAGGAGCATGATGACCGAAATGGGAAGGAAAAAATGATGCTGTAGCAGCAGCGGCAGCAGCAGCAGCAGCAGCAGCTTGATGACCAGGACCCCAAACGGCAGGATGAAGACCAGGTGGAATACCAGGAATGCTTCCTAATGTTGAAAAACCACCTACGTAAGCAGGAGTCGGTCTAACGGGTGTAGGACTGGATGCATGTTGTTGAAGATCTTCAACATCTACAAGACTATTTTCATCGTCATCTTCGATATCTTCGATCTCGGAACACCTAGATCTTCCTTCCTCTTGAGAGCTACTTCTCGGTGACTGAGAACCATAATCTCTTTGAGAATTGTTCGTTATTTTAGGCGATGGTATTGAACATTTGAGTAGCACGGTATCCGAAGAAGTAGCTGAATCGCTGTTAGTTCTGATCCTATAATCGATTGTCCCATAAGACGTGCATCTTTCGGTAGGTGATTCTAATCCTAATTCTATTTCTGTATATCTCGACGGTGGCGTTCTAATTTCTGTTGTAATTCGTGGCGAATCACAGGTATATCGTTGTGTTTTCGCATCTGAATCGGGTGACGCTGTTAGATTATATCTGTTCGTTCGAAGATCACTAGGATATTTCGATGATGTATGATTTGAAGTTACCGTCGTAAGGAGATCTTGATCTACCGATGAATAAGATGAGATCGGCGAAGATTCCAAATTAATCTTTGAAGTGTCTTCCCTCCTAGAAGATTCCGGTGATTTTTTAGTGTCCGCCAACAATGCGGCCACGGAAAAACTCAATCGATGAGCTGGCCTGGCACTGGGTTGCGGTGCTTGTGCCTCGTCGGCCGATCCTGGACTGGTCGATGGAGGCGTCACCGGCGAGGTCATCCTTAGTACTGTCATTCTTAAACTCTGATCTCACTTGATCGCGTTAAACGTATTGAGCCTTCAGACTTTGCGATAACTCATCACGAGTTATCGTAAACTTCCTCGTCTTTTTCCTTTTTTATTTTTTTCTTTCTTTTTTTTTTTTTTTGAATCCTTCAATGAACCTTGATTTGTATTAAAAACGATCGAAGATCGAATCGATCAAACAGTCTTTACGATCTATATATATATCTATATATATGTCTATGTATATTGCATATATATCACCTTGATAAATCACACTAAAGCTAATCCCTGTTTCTATAAGATTGATAGAAATAAAAACCAGCTAGACAGATAAATAAATGTGTGGATGATATTATCGTCTGGTATAATAATTGTATTACGTTGTCACTCGTTTTGACAGCTGCTTGCTTAGAAGGATCGATGATGATCACTGCCAGCTGACCTAACGAACAGCCGCCGAACGAGTCGAGCTCTCCGTGTAGACTGACTTTGAGCATTCTGCCAACTCCAAACGGACTTTTTCTTTTTGCACCCTGCAGCAACTGGACTTAATGGTGGGGGCATTGACGGGAACGTGGAAGGGAGCAGGAAAGAGTCCAAATGTATGTGGAAGAAAGAGAGGGAGAAATACGATGAGGAAGGTTATTCCAACAGGAGGGGGATCGGAAGCAAATGTTGGAGAGTGGGAAGGTGGAGAGGTGGAGTGAGAGTCAAACAAGGTGGATGATGGAAGGGGTATTTGACGAGGGGTATAGGGGTGAATAAGAGAGATAGAGAGAAAGATAGAGAGAGAATAGAAGCAGGGCGAGGCTTCGTTCCATCAACGGAGGCTTTACCAAAATGGCTCCGCCTACTTGTGGACGGAGTTTATGTTAGCAAACCAAGGCTGTTAGGCTATATATACATTTTTCCAGCATAATACTACTCGATTCTCTGATGCAAATGCGACTGCAACGGATCCGATGGTGGTGGTGGTAGTGGTGGTGGTGGTGGTTGAGATGGTGGAAGGGATGGAAAGGATTAAAGAACGAGGGGTGAGGGAGTGATGCGTTCAGAAAGAGAAGGAAAGAGAAAGAGAGATTTAATCGGGCAGTTCGCCTTCCTACGTCGGAGACGGTAATGAGCGTAATTGACCAATTAGGCTTGGCGATTAAGAAAGAAAAAAAGGTCAAAGGAAAGAAAATCAAATGGAGTCTAGGCGAAGAACATTTTCGATATAATCGTACCGAGCTTCTTTTTTGTAATGGTAATTTTACAAAAGTATTAGGGTTACAATTATAATTAATGATGATTTTTCCTCGAAACACATTTTCGAATGTTATTTTAATTATGATTCGCGTTAAAATAGATTAAGACGTTAGTATAAATTGAATGGAATAATTATGAAATGATGTATATAGATACGATGGAAGATCAAACATTACGGTTCGACACTTCAAATGGAATCGACATAATAATAAAGCTTAACGATCGTTCAGTAGCACCCCTTAAAACTTGGCAGCCGTAAACCCTAATCGACACGATAAATCGAGATCCCGGTACGATCAGAAAATTACATACACATATACACGTCAGGCCCTCTTAACGACCATCAAAAGCTAAACGAGAAGATAAGAAAATGATATCTCTCTTTTTCTCTCTTCCTCTCTCTCTCTCTCTCTTTTTCTTTTTATATCTTCCGGATAGAAGCTTGTTACTCGTTCTATCACGCGATCCTTTAAGAAATTCGTCTTACGAATTCAAAGAAAAACCTTGTCTCGACTATTTTTATTCTACCTAAAGTATATCCTAAGGTATATCCTATTAGAATACTCAACCATAAAAGAGGCTAACTTCATTACTAGGGATTTGGACAGAGCAGGTGGGGACTATCGATCGGAACTCGGACGTCCAGTGGCTTTTTCTATTTCTATTTTTTTCTCTTTTCAACCTCCTACATCAGTGGAAGCAGCTAAACCATATCCCCTCTTCTTTTCCCTTCTCCCTACTCTTCTGCTAAAAACTGAGATTCTCGCAGGTTACCTTTTCTGTTGGTTTGTTTCGAGCAAGGAAACATAGTAGTCATAGCCTTTCGTCCGTCATATTTACGGTGGACACCCTCACGTCACCCGAGCTAACTTTTGCGATAAGCAAAAACAAATGAGTCTCGATAGAGAGGGTTGCTGTTGATGCAACCAACGAAAAAGACAGAAAGAGAAACAGAAAGAGAGTGAGAGAGGGGTTTGGGGAGGGGAGGGGAGTTCACGCTGAGAGAGGGATGCCGATAAGCCGTAAACGAATAAAACCTCGTGGACGTTCTTCCATTTGGCGGGGAATTGGCTTTCGCCGTAAATTTCATCGCGCGAACTTCCGAGCACTGCTGTTGTCGGCAGACACACCGAAGTCTACTACCTAACTCTATGACACCTCTCGTCACTATTTCTATCTTCCGTTATTTATCCGTATATCTCTTTTACTCTTTATACTTTTCTACGGTTCGTTTATCGATCCTGTAACAAATCAAAGGCCTTTTTCAACTGATGGAGGGACTCCAAGTCCTTTGAGATATATGTGCACGTATGTATGATACGTTCTACGAACGGAAGGATAGTTTTGATTAAACCGCTCTCGTACTACGATTGTTCTTCATCCTATTTCTTAACCTACCCACCTCTTCTCCTGCCCTCCTCCCTTTTTTTCAACAAAAATATCACTTACTAAATCTGTCGATACAAATCTAGAAAATTGAATATTTCTTTTTTACGAGCTACTTGTATACATATTTTTCTACGCGTATTTTAGAAAATACACATTTGAAAAGAGTTATTTTAGATTATTATTTATTAATTGTTTAGATTATTTTTTTTTTATTAGCAGAGGTATCTGAAGACATTATTTAATTATTTTTAGGGATGTTAAAAATTGCGTTTTTTTTTAATTGATGATCGAAAGTTTCGTTCGTATAAGATATTCTGGTAATTTTGTTCGTTTCGATTGCTATAGTACTTTAAAATAATATAATTGATTATAATTTATTCCTAAAAATGTTCTATTTAAAACATTAATTTACAAAATCCATATTAACTCAAATATAAATTATTTAAATACATTATTATATTAGAATATAAAATGGTCAATACGATTATCAACGTTCAATTGTATTTGTCATAGAATTTGAAAATTAGTCGAGATCAATTTCCATTCGTTTCTTCATCATTGTTTCAATAATAAGTACTCGAAAGGTTTGTCTTGGGGATGTATTTGATTATTCTTGGACGCAACAATAGAAGAATTTATCTGAAGAGAATATTATTATTACGGGTAGCTTCGCAAGTCACATTCGCAACTAAGGCGATCGCTAAGAAATCGCGAGATGCAATAAAGGAGCTCATAAAGTCCCGTAACAAAGCACTACGCTATCTTTCGTTACTCAGTGTGGTATTAACGTTTACAGGCCATTGACTTTCGAATCCACTTCCGCGAACGCATCAATCCCCGCTTTTCTCGCTTGATAAATTCGCCTTGTCCGATTGCATCCACTGTAACTATTAAAAATAGAAAGAGAAAGAAGATACAAAAAGGAAAGAAAGAATGAAAGAAAGGAGATATTAAAACGAACGCGGAAAAAGGAAAGTAAAGATAACTATCCTATCGGTGCAATGTCAAAATCTTTCCAATCTAAGATTTAACATCAGTACTCTTAAATCTTTCTCTTTCTCTTTATCTTTTTCTTGACTTTTTATTTCTTTTTTTTTTTTCTTTTCCTTTCTTCCTTTCTTTTCTCTTCAAACGATAATATCTTTCCTTCGATTAATTTAATCGACCGTTCGATTAGCAGTTAATTAAAGCCGAGCTAGCTTGCCGATCAAAGCTAATAAGGATAAAATAAAACGTTTAAACTTTAATCCACGTTAGGTTGATGCTAAGATAGAAAGGAGAGGCCGGAATCAAGTTGTCGACCTGCTTTTCTTTCTTTCCTCGAGATCGTTAGAAAAGAGATATCAGGAAAGAGAAAGAAAACTTTCCTATCTACTTACCTTACCTACCTATCAAACAAACCTTTGCTATTTATTACAATTTCCTTCTAATGTAAAATAAAGAAAAGAATGTTTCGTTAAAATATCGTCAATGTTTTTTCTTTTTCTTATTTTTGTTTCTTTGTTTGTTTGTTTGTTCTGTTTCGTTTTTTAATTTATACGACAAATTTTATTTCCAGCGACTACGTTATTTAAATTTTAAAGATATAATCGAAATTTTTAAATGCAATTTGATATCGATCGTTTCGCGTGTATTCATTTTGGTTAATTTTATTTGAAGTTGTTCAGACAAATTTGAAAATTTTTTATTTGTTTTTAGGTAATTTAGTATTTTATAATTTTTAGTTTTAAATTCGAGATGAATTTTAACAGGAAATAACAAATGTTTTCTATTAAAGGAAATGAAAGAGTGTTTGTTTAAAAAAAAAAAAATTGTATTTTTAATAATTAAATAAGGCAGAAGATTGAAAGTAGTGAACTTGACGTTGAAAAGAGAAAGATAGAGAAACAAAGAGAAAGAATGATGGTCCAATTTGGATGGTTACCACGGCAAACGATACGTTAAATAGATAGGACAGGCAAGAGGGGTAAGAGGGAACGGCAGGCATAATGAGGACCACCCGCTAGCTCAGTAAGATCAAGTAAGAGTGTACATGTACTCGGTGTACATACATCCACGTATGTGTATATTTACGAATAGTAACATTTCAAGCTCAACCATATGATTTATCTTTTTTATCTTGTCGTTTCAATTGCATGCACTTAATGTGGCATCGTATAAAAATTATCGTGAGATTGTTACCCAAATTGATCCTCAATTTTTTTTTTTTAATTTAATTTTAACCGTTCAGTTTAAAGATGATCGATCGATTTTATATATAAATATATATATATTAATAATTTTTTAATTAAATATGACGTCACAGAGCATATAAAGATGATTTGTAGATTATTAATGATTGAATAGATTTAATATGAGTGTGCGTAGAAAATTTCTACTATTTTGTTTTTTCTTGGATTCGGTTGAAATTTGATATTATTGATTTGTATGCACATTCAGAGGTTGGCTAATTTATTAATTTTTATTTTAAATATAAGTTATATAACCAAAGCTCACCGTCGGATCATAAAGAGTAATTATATAATATAAAATCTAACTGGAATTGAAGAAAAAAAATAATAGAAATTATTATGAATATTATAAATACACATAAATTAAATATTTTACATTAAAAATACCAATTATTACTATTATTATTAATTTCAAAATGACAACGAAAATTGCAAAAAATATTTAAAATTGTTTAAAAAAAACCCTGGAAAAACTTTTTAATCTAATATATTATATAAATAATACCAATTATATTATAATAAATTTCATCGTCGAAAAAAATATGATTGGAACTTCTAAATAAACTTATACTTCTCGACAAATATATATATATATAATTTTTCAAAAAGACATAATAATAATCGAAT